ATATAAACCACATATATTGCACCTGTGATACATTAATAAGGACCCATAGCCTCGGATATGAGAATAAAGAGTATTCAGAACTTGCCGTTTGATTCTAAATACGTATGAGTAAGGATTATTCGTAGCTGGTCCAATAAATTACTCAAGACAATGACGTTATCTAAATCAAAATACACTACTGTAATGTGAACCAAGAGAGCCCTGATGAATTACGTTTAAGTGTTATAGAGGCCCATGGACTACCTATTTATTATTTATTGTTTATTAAAAAATTGTCATTCGGACATAATTTAAATTGTAATACTTTATTCATATATACTTATACTAACTTTACAGTACTAATATTCGTGCTGATATTTATATCGTCTGCAAAGGATGACACGGAAATGTGACTTGCATTTTTGTCTCCTATCTTATATATGAGTGAAAAAAATGCAGTGGTGCAAGGACTTTGCCTTGGGGTACAGAGTTTTCCCTGTGAATCGATTGTGTTACTCTTTGCAACATTCTTGACAGGAACCTGAATAGCCATTGCCCTGTTATTCCTATTGATCTAATTTATGGGTTATCACTCCATGGTCACATTTATCACGTGCCCTTTCAAAGTCCGAGTATACCATATCAGCATTTTGTTTTCATTTTATTGCGCCCTTGATTTTGTTACAGTGGTTAAGCGATTGCGGGACAGGATCTTCCTACTCTAAAGTTATGTTAAATTGGGTTGTGAAGATCATTGTTCTTCATAAAACTGGAGATCTGACTCCTAATCACTTTATTTTCAAAAACTTGAATTGTGTGTGATGTTAATGTGACTAATCTATAGTTTTCAGTCCTACACTACTACTATAAATAACAATGTTCGTTGGTTTGGAAGAGGTTGTCCTAAAATGATTTGTCGAGTATTTTGATGAAAATTCGTCGGATTTAAACGAATTAATAGTTTTCTGTCAAGAATTATCTGACGTTGTGGAGTTGTAGATTGACGTAGATAACTTTATATAGTTTGAAATCAAAATAATTTTTGTTATTTAAAGGTGACGTTGAAAATACCAGTACTGTATTAAATTTTATACCAGTATTAAAAATACCAGTAGAAATTCATGAGAAAACAGACATTTTGAGTTTTGAAATTAAATTTTCTAACATCATGTATAGATACAATGAACAATTTTCTTTGCGATTTATTAAGTTTAAATCATTTCGAGAAGTTAAACAAATTAAGTATGTATGGTATAATATTAGACAAACTAATTTTGGAAATGTTGCGACGGATTAATCTGGGTAATTTTTAGAGGCAAATGATTGAAAAAGCAGATCAATTTGTGGTAAAACATTTGTAGCATGAAGAACTAAATTATAAAATGTTGAAAGAGGGGGGCTAGTGACTAGATCAACGCAGAAAGTTTGTCTGAAAATGAGATTCTGAAACTGGCATCCTATTCCTGCACTTATTGACTGCCTGAAATATCTCGCATTGTCTAGATTAGTGTTTTTATCGACTTGTTCAAGCGAGTCAGCAATATTTTCAGTAATGAACTTTGTCCAGTCTAATTATATCAATAGACTTGCTGATAAAACTCTTAGTACTGCATACATGGCTTTCAAAACAACCCAAATACAAGTCTGATATAGAATATGTCATAGTTGGTGCAGCAGAAAGTTTCACTGATTGCAACATATTTTCTTTTCCATGATTTAATTATACTTTATAATTTGAATCAAAATTTATAATTTCACGTTCATATTTATTATGCTGTTTATGGGGTGCAATAGCAATATTATATAAAAATAATGTGTTTTTCAGTTGTATTTTTAAAGTTGATATTAATAATATTTTCAACAAGCTTTCATTTATCTCAATCTCTCTCTTAAACTTTTGTTAGTAGTAAAGCATTGATACAAGTAAACAACAGGAGTCCTCCCTTTTTTTCCTTAAAACATGTCCATTGTAGTTGCAATGTAACCCTTTCCACTACCGCCCACAAGATGGGTATGGGGCGCATAATAAATGAACTAAACTAATTCTTTAATTTTACTTTTGTTAATTATTAATAATTTCTACAGATGCATGAATAACAATTCAGAAGGTCGTCTGAACAGACTTTTTTAAGAATGTTTTCAAGCATTTTGTTCTCCAAGGGGACGCAACAAAATGTTTTACAGGATAATAAGACAATTTGGGCACTCAATAAATATTTGCCACTCCTGGCATGGAGCAGCCTCGCTGTGTCCAACTCTTTCCCTGACCACCACAATGGGAAACCATATTATTTTAATAGCTGTGCAAACGAGTAAATTATAAAATACAGAACCGTCTGCTGCGAGTAACTATTTACCTTCATCCATCAGATAAAAGATTAAGCTTTGGGATAATTTTCATCAGTCACTTCTACGGGCTCGCCATACCCCGTGTTGCTTGGAACTTTTTGTTCCATGTAGCGAGTTTTTAACAACAACATCAGTCACTTATGTGCATGGCCATGGCCAAGGGGCCTCGTAGCCTGGTGGATAGCGCGCAGGACTCGTAATTCTGTGGCGCGGGTTCGATTCCCGCACGAGGCAGAAACAAATGGGCAAAGTTTCTTTCACCCTGAATGCCCCTGTTACCTAGCAGTAAATAGGTACCTGGGAGTTAAGTCAGCTGTCACGGGCTGCTTCCTGGGGGTGGAGGCCTGGTCTAGGACCGGGCCGCGGGGACACTAAAGCCCCGAAATCATCTCAAGATAACCTCAAGAAGATGGCAATAAAATTACTATTGGAAATTAATATGAAAAAGTGCAATCAAGTATGTTTCAAAAATAGTGCTAAAACAGTAATTAATGGCTGTAAATTCATTAATAAATCCAACGAACTCTTAAAATTATTCCATGCATGATCTTAATTAATGCAGCCCGTATACGCAAGCATTCACAACGTCATGAAACTGTCGTATTAAAGTGCCTTATCCTAACCTACCAAAGGACCCACGAACAAAAACCGGGTTTGTAGGACAGTTTGTGACCTTAGGTAAAGTATACGCCAAAATGCGCCGTGCTATTAGGAGGACGTGTTGATTAATGGATTTTTACACTCTCAAATATTTAATGTACCGTGCGGTGTGAAGGGCAAACTTGAGCCAAAACTACACCAACTATACGTGTACCGATACCAATATTTTGACCAAATACAGCCTAATACCCGAAAGTGTATTTATATATTATATATATTATATATATTTATATGTATTTATATATATGTATAATAATATATATATATATATATATATATATATATATATATATATATATATATATATATATATATATATATTTTATATTTATATATACCTATATTTCCTTGCCGATACTTAATTGTTGTGTAAATGTAAAAACTTAGGCCATAATGCTTCACCTATTCTCAGAGTATGTAAACAATGATAAAGCAAATTAGCAACACTCAATAATTATAATAATTGGGTAGGTGTAGTAGTGGATGGGGCAAGAATGGGATGGGCAGGATTGAGTGGGTGTAGGAATAGGTAGAGGCGAGCATGGAAATAGTGAGTACTCACACACACCTAGGAAGCAGCCCGTAACAGCTGTCGAACTCCCAGGTACAGTACCTATTTACTGCTAGGTAACAGGGGGATCAGGTGAAAGAAACTGCCCATCTGTTTCCGCCGGCGCCGGGAATCGAACCCTGGACCACAGGACTATGTATCCAGTGTGCTGTCTAATCAGCCACCAGCGCCCTGTGAGTACTTACCTAATCGTGCCTGCTGGATTTTGAGTTTCTGATCCTGCTTCTCAACTTACAGTCAACAGATGCACAGGTTTCTGAGCTTATTGGAGTGTCATATCCAAAGATTTTCTTATAGATATATCACGTTACTAAGATTTTATTGCAAACATACATCATACATTTCTTAAAGCGTATGGAGTCTGCCTTCACTTTATTAACGCATTTAATTTCTTCACTACTGTTACAATGAAAAAAATCATTTTAAAAAATGTCTCTGGCTCATTTGGGTACTTCCAAGTGTCTGCCCTGCCAATACCCCAAAATATTATATTTTGTAAACACGACTCTATTAACTCCTTTGTCTTCCAGTCTTTAATCATAACCTATACCTCTGGTGAAGCTAGCAACACAAAATATAGTCCCTTCTTTCACTTTGTTTAGCTGTCTATTTTTAACATTTAAATTGTCATTAATATTGTATGTCTGTGTTCTATTCAGTAATTTTTCTGAATGGTTTGTCGACAGGGTAAAATTTTGCAATGGCTTGCAGTTTAAGAAAATTATTTAATCCCGCTGTACTCAAAGTTAGCCTTCTAAGGATAATCCCAGTGGGGGCAATACATAAAAGTGATTAGATGTTAAATTAACTTGAATTAAATTAAATCAGCGTTAAATCAACATTGAATTAACGTTGATCATGGATGTTGATGCCTCTTGCATACTGCTACAGTAACACACAATTATAAATTATGTATTAATTATAAATTGGCGAAGTATATCCGACTATCATTAACATTTGCAGTACTAAACAGTAATATTATTAAATACATTAACAACCTTGTTATACAAAATCATTATAATGAAATCACACATCAGGAAAATACTTAACACAATCACAAGGGTGTTAATTCCATCTCAGTCGAAATATGAAACAAATTTCATATGCAAAAAATACAGTTTCGAAAAAAGTGGTGTAACAGATGATGGAAGAAAATTAGGCAAAGGAAAGAAGAGCAGATAAAGTATAGAAAGAAGGAACGGAGAGTAGATAAAGTAAAGAAGGAACGGAGAGTAGATGAAGTAAAGAAGGAACGGAGAGTAGATGAAGTAAAGAAGGAGCACACAAATCACAATAGCGTGATGCATCAAATGAACAAATCCACAAGGGCCGTGACGAAGGTTCGAACCTGGGATCCTCTCGGACGTAGGTTCGAGCCCTCGTCACCCCCCTTGTGGATTTTGTTCGTTATAGAAGGCAGGCAGAAGACGTAGCTGCCTACCTTGGTCTCAGTCTCGTCGACACACACACTCGCAGCTCTCCTGATGAAGCCGTCATCGTCCACCACCCGAGCCCGAGGGGCCGAGGTCTTCGTCCTCTTCGTGCTCTCACTACCAATGTTGTTGTTGTTACTGATGTATTCTTCAGTGTCATTGATGTTGTTATTTGGGTCTTCGTCCGTGTTGATGAAGTTGATGGTGTCTTGTCCACAGATGGTTGTGGACCCCTTGCCGCTCCCCTGCAACTGCTCCAGTTCAATGATGCTGTTGTTATTATTGTTGTCATCGATATCATCACTATAGATATCTTCGTAGCTGCTGCTGCTGCTGGTGCTGCTGCAGCTCACCCTCCCACGCCTCCTGCTGCTCAAGCTGCCTTCCAAATTACAATTTCTCCAGTAGCGCGTGTCTTGGGTCGGCCAGACGGTGGGCGGCCAGCAGGGAGGGCTGGTAGGTGATGCTGCCTGTGGGGGCAGCATCAGGGTGTAGGGGAGACAGCAGGGGCTGCTGGTAGGTGATGCTGCCTCCTGATGCTGATGCTGCAGCATCAGGGTATAAGGCAGATGAGGTGGGCACGGCCAGCAGGCATCACACTCACTGGCTGGTGGGCAGCTTCCGGGGATGATAATGGACTGCATCTTGACCCAAAACTGGGAGATTTTACACTAAATATATATGACACACAATGGGGTTATTGGTCAAGTTTTTCGCTTTTTGTGGAATGAGGGCCACTTGCTGTCATTTTCATACATGGGGAAAGTTTGGTGTGTGAAGAGTTAACAAGCCGTGACAGAGTCACCACCAGATGGAACACAGGGCAGACAGCAGCACAGTGAACAGATTCAAGTCACTCGAAGGACCAGGCACCAAACCACGAGGATTACTTGTCCACAGAGAGCGCCTGCTGCTGAACCGACGGACCCCACACAGCTGTGCGCTTGGGCTATACTGGTAAACAAGAGTGATGATCAGCCGGCCGCACCTCGCTCTGTACCCCCACCAGCCAGCCCCTCCTGTCTCCCCCCCACCAGCCAGCCCCTCACTACCACCCCCCCCACCAGCCAGCCCCTCCTCTCTGTCTCCCCCCCACCAGCCAACCCCTCCTCTCTGTCTCCCCCCCCCCACCAGCCAGCCCCTCCTCTCTGTCTCCCCCCCCCACCTGCCAGCCCCTCACTACCACCCCCCACCAGCCAGCCCCTCACTACCACCCCCTCCTCTCTGTCTCTCCCCCTCACCAGCCCTTCCTCACTGTCTGCCCCTCATTACCACCCCCGAACCAGAGAACCCCTCACCAACACCCCCCAACCAGAGAACCCCTCACTACCACCCCAACCAGCCAGCCCTTCCTCACTGTCTCCCCCCCCCCCACCAGCAAGCCCCTCACCAACACCCCCCACCAGTCTGCCCCTCACTACCACCCCCCAACCAGCGACCCCTCACCAACACCCCCCAACCAGCGACCCCTCACCAACACCCCCCCATCAAGAGAGGGCCCCGCCTCCTCCGTGACGTCATGGCCGCCACACGCCGCCACCCTCAGGACCGGAACGTCGCATTTCATATATTTCCTTTACCATAAACCCATCCCTCTCCTAGTCGCAAATTTATTATTATATAATATATACCTAATTATATATAATAATTTAAATTAATTATAATAATTCATTGTGATGAAAGGTAGCCAGCCTAACGTGTACATATATTCATGGTAAGGCTTACAGCAACGTCCTCCTCCTGACCCTTCCCAGGACGCAATACTATAATAGTTGACTAACGCCTGGGGGTACCTATTTACTGCTAGGTGAACAGGGGCATTAAGGTGATAGGGTACGCGCCCAAACCATTTCTGCCCCGACCGGAAATCGAAATACATAATTAAGTGTGCAATACATTAATTAGCACGTGGATAATTAAAGCTAATTAAAATAGAAAATAACTAATATAAACACCGCTGTTAAACTTACGTAAAGTGATGAAACGAAGTGGATCTTAATACTTAACACGTGGATAATCAAAACTAATACAACACTTATAACAATGACTACACACTTACAAAAAATGTATATAAAAACACAAGCATAATAGAAAACAATTGTAAAATACTAGAAAAAACTTATAAAAACATAAATATCAAACAAAACTAAACACTAAAAATGTATTGTACGTCTTAATTAAACAACTATAACAATATACAATATCAACACTTGAAATAAGTAATAAGAGACAAATCATGGTAAACTAAAGCAAAAATGTAAAAATTTAAAAATTTCCAGCATGAACTATAAATAAAAATACGAGGCCTATTGTGCATTATACAGTGTACAATTGAGCAGCCGAAAGCTTGTTATTTAGCAGAGGCCGCAGCTCCCTGATATATAAGGATTCCATTATTCTCAAATCCGACTGGCCAGTCATACAAGTGTCTAGAATTTTAAAATCGGATTCCAGCAGAGAATGATTCAATTCATGACAATGATTTCTAATCTCCGAGGATGCTTGTTTGGATAATGGTAATTTCAGTCCTAACTGATACTCCCCGGTGCTCAAGTATCCTAATCCTAAAGTTCCGAATGGAACTGCCAATGTATCCAGGATTACAGCTGGATACATGGATACACATATATCCACATATACGCTGGATACATATATACGATACTAAAGCGCAGGAAGTTAGGCACTTTATTTTTAAATTTAAAATAGGAGCCTATGGTATTGACAAAAATAAATCTAAAGTCTACTTGAAGATAAGAGTGCTGTAAAGGTTTCTCAATCGACGTCTTACTGAAAAACTAAGTGTCGTAAAAGGGTAATTTGATATATTTAATATCCCTTTCTACTGTAGTAATCGTACAAGAAGGGTGTAACTTCTTATTTAAGAAATTCCTAATAAAAGTATATACCATATGCGCAGGATTACCATTATTTGAAAAAAAACACAAGGAAATTAATTTCTTGATCAAAGTTAGAGCAATTCGAGCATAAAACAAATTAATAATACTCTGTTATTATGTAGAAACGACGACGTTTCGGTCCGTTCTGGACCATTATCAAGTCATCTAATATATATTATATATAAATATATAAACTGTAAAAAAATTATATGTAATAAATAAAATGAGTACACGTACGTACGTACATAATACATACATATTATTTTATTATATATTATATTTTTGAAAAAATGGAGTTCCACGTCTGTCTTAAGAGTGCAATGTAGTGAAGTAACCAGAGTGGATTCCTCTGAGTGTAAGTCTCGGGACACACGGCTGTCTTGATGGGCATTCCCGAATAACCAATGGGACGGGCAGTTCAACAGTGTTACAATAGCCGACATTGCATTGACGCCTACTCAATAAGCCGCCGAGGTAGCTTATACAAGTCATCATGAAAGTTCATTATTCTGCAGCCTAGGAGAAAGACAAGTCAGAGGGTAGTCTCAGGGTGTGACAAGGGAAGGGTCACTTAATTGATGAGGTCAAGTCAGGTCACCCAAGCCTCTCAGCGAACTCCAGTACATTTCATTCACCTGGACTGAAAAAACTGGGTAAATACTAGTTCTGTAACAGGGTTGTTGATTTGTGAAACCAATTACCGGTGGAGGTGGGGTCCCTCGATTGCTTTAAGCGTGGGTTGGACATGTATATGAGTGGGATTGGATGGTTAGAAATAGGAGATGCCTCGTATGGGCCAATAGGCCTTCTGCGGTTACCTTTATTCTTATGTTCTCGTACCGTGGATCCCACACGTGTGAGGGGTCCAGGGTACGAAAGTCATGCGCCTTTGCCAAAAGTCAGAGAGAAGACCACCCTAGAAAAGATCGTGGACGACTCTACAAAAGGACAAAATGACGAAATCCTTAAGCAGACACGATTATCACAACAAAGAAAGTTAAAAATAAACAAAGAAATAGAAAAAATAGAGCAGATACCGAAGCGATCATATCAGTCTGATAAAATGAAACTGAACACAAAAATATGAGATATAGAAAAAAATCAAAAAATATTTTTTTTCACATGCGTAATCAATATAAATAACCTACACCAGTATTTGGCTTACACTTACAACTGAAGGTTCATACACAGAGGATGACCAAGAAATTTGTGAAATTCTATCTATAAGACCAGTATGAGGCTATGTTTAACACCTCAATGAATAATATGAAAGTTGAAGATCTGGAAGCTTCTTTATGAACAATATCCAAACACCTGACTATATAATTGATATTAACATAAGCACCGGCCCAGACGTTGGTAGGAAGGTAAACCCCAGACGTTGCTAGGGAACATTACACTCTGGGAGTAATGTCTGGATTTAGTTACATTGATTTAATGATGGCGCCGAACGAGCCCCTCTACCGTGGGGCGAGTTTATTGGTCACGATGTGAACTGTTTATGTTAAACAACATTGGGGTCAAGTTACGTCTACCACTTCCGTCACTTCCCGTTGGATGGTCTGGGGGGAAAAGTTACACTGATGAGCAATGGTACGAGCACTGACGCACATCCTGGCAATGAACATCCCACAGTCGAGACAGCAGCCTACAGAGCAACATTTTTGTTTTAGTCGGGAGAGTACAGGAACAGACGACTTCCTACTCCTGTTAAAAGGCTGAGTACTTTACCACTCCCATAGCTCATGGTAAGTCTTACCCACTAATTTTCACTGAAATACAATGTTTTTTTTATTAACAAGCTTATGTATAAACAACAATGTGCTGCTACCCTATTCTATATGAAAGATTACAAAGTGTAGATCAAAAACTAGCTATAAGTTCATCTACTATCCCCCCATCTCACAGGATTGTTAGTCATAACTGGAATCATTAGAGAATGTAAGGCTGATCTATTAGCCTCCACTACCAAAATATGGGGACAGCATAAGAATATCGTCTAATATTCCTGAGTGTATGAAATAATTGAAGAGCTCAAAGTACCTCATACCATGTGGTCTGAAATCACTGATAACAGGGCAATCACAGATATAGTGTTGGAGAGTATGTCCTAACTCTTGTTCACATAGTTTACAATTGGAATGTTCACCATTGGGGGGATTCATTACCTGCCATAGATATCAATATCCCAGCCTAATCCTGGCAATTACAATGTCACACTTTCTAGTAGATGTTTTATGCTGCCCGTACATATAATTCTCGGTTCTAAACATGTCATAGCTCTATATACTCGTGCTTTCTGGCTTTTGAGTGTCAGTAACTGCTCTTCTGTCTTCCTTAATTTCTTGAAATATAAACTTTACATTTTGTGGAGGTTGAGGGAATTCGTAAACTTGTGTTAACTGTGCTTTGACCATTGTTGTTTTTCTATTTATGTGATCAGCGGAGTTTAATAATCTTTATATTTCATAAGCTAATATTATGTTGAGAGTTCTAGACAGTGTTAAAGCACCGCCAATGTTGTTGGCTCCAAGTGAACTAGTCCAACAACCACTTGAGTAAAGCTGTATTTTATCAGGGTTTATAAACGATTTTCCCCAGTTTCTTTCTTTCTCACCTTGTTGTATTTGTTAGTTCTGCCTTTAATTTTGTGCCATGCTTTGTTCTCTGTGCAGCTGGCGTCAATGTTATAACATATATAACATCGTTATAACCGCTAGTGTTACATTTGAGTCATTTCACGCCATCTTGATATACAGCACTCTCTGATATGCCTGTAGAACTATTGCAGAACTATTAGCTTCATTAGTTCTGCAGTCATCTGCATCATGTAGCGTACCCGTGTGCAACGCCGTCAGTGTCTTCGAATAACGTACGATTCAGAACATTTGTGTTGTGTGGCTCTCCATGTGCTGCCGCTCACACCATGAATATGGAGTGCGAAATAAACTTGTTGTCGCTGGAGGTATAATTTGTTTAACCGTCTCCCAAGGGACGGTATAAAATTCAAATTCAAATGTTTATTCAGGTAAAGTACATACATACAAGGTGTGATACAAACATTGATGGATATATAGATAGAGCT